ACACACACACACACACACACACACACACACACACACACACACACACAGCTGGTGAAATCTAACGTTAAACCGTTTTGCAGATCACCGGAGGCTCTGTTAGTTTTTCACTTTTATGTTCCTTTTGATTTTGCGATATGAACACTTAAAAGTGTCACACATTCAAATCTCATCCTCCTCATAATAATAAAACATAAATAGAATATGTATTTTTACAGCCAGATGCTGATTTTAGATGCTGCTTCAAAGTAGAGAGCTTAAATGAAATGATTGGCAAAATGGGATTATACACCTCCTGCCTCGAGGCAAAATGTGTTTCTGTTTTGATGTTTTTAACCGGATAAAGAAAAGCAACAACTGTTTTCATCATCAAATAACCGGCATCTGAGTATTTTCTCAAGTGATTTGAAGAATTATTTGATTTATTAAATGTAAATAAATAGGGAAAATGTGCATTATGATCAATGTGACATATTAAAATATCGTTTTCTAATGACATCATACATGACAGACAAAACATTAAAAACCCTCCACAGTTGAGAAACTTTGATTTTTTGCAGTTTAATTTGTGAATTGACAAATCGACTAATAGACGTGTCGCGTTTTCCGAACTCGTCGAAACGGGAAGGAGACGCAGTGGATGAGGAGGAAATGAGCGTGAATGTGGAGGTATGACGGTGGTTTATCATGCCACTGATGAGTTTCAGGGATTATTCCACTAAGCGAGGAGGAAGAGAATGGTGCTGCGAGCAATACCTAACTGACAGATATATGCGGCAGATAGGAGTAAGATTAAAGGAGAGGAATGACAGCAGTCATCCAAACAGGAAGTCCGATTATAATAGAGCTAGGGATTAGGTTTGAACACCTATATGGTCACTAAACTTTACCTCGATGAGCTTTTACATAGAAACTTTGAAAAGACTGACCGTCAGGCACACGGCTCCTCTGTGCTAGCATGGGAGCAATTGAGACAATCACAGTGGTACACAGGAACGCACACAACTGCAGATCCCATCAGTATCCAGCAAGCTGTTGACCAGGAGGAATGTGTCCCCCGACCTGCAAAACCCCCCCTCCCATAAGCTCCATCGCTAGGATCAGCCATACAGTCGACTGATGGGTACAAACAGGAGCGCAGTAGAGTCTCTGGTGATTGAATCGGGTTCAGGTGGCCGGGGGGGGGGGGGATGTCTCGGGACACGCAACCCGCTGACAGATGGTGTCGGAGGCAAAGAGACGCACGCGTGTTTCTTTATTCTCACTTAACTAAACACACGAACACACCTCTCAGACAAAAGCACAGCAGGCAAACATGTAGGCACGAATGCTCGCTTATGTAAGAGTTTATGAAGCCGCCCGGGGACGTTACACAGACGCTTTGTTTCTGGAAATGTACAGGCGATGCGGGATGACACCGGGAGGAAGAGGGGGAAGACAAGTGGGGAAGACGGATGCCTGTAGGTACACACACACACACACACACACACACACACACACAGAGTTCAGGCAACACATAGTGAAAGCAGAGATAACGCTCCACCTCTGGGAATGAGAGTTATGTGACAGGAAGTCTCTTCTGGAGATTTTGGATTTGACTGGATCGCTGCGACTGCTGGTTTCGTCTCACTGCAAAAAAACACCAGCTGCCTTCCTCGTTTCTGTCGGCCTCCTGACAACAACCATAGCCAGCAAACTGTTGTAGACCAGAATGTGTACATGAAGGTGCACACAGAGCGTCTATAGAGGTTCTACTTTTTGCATGTTTGCGTGTGCTGCTGTAAAAACAACAATCTGTGGTTATTATGGGGAGTGACGTGCCGGACTATTACTACTAGCCAGTAGCAGTGACTTACTGGAATCTCCTCTGGTTGCCTAAATAATATACCATGACCAAGGCCACCGTACTGTCCTATTAATAATGCCATATTTTTGGCCTAATATGAGTTATATGAGTTATAATTGTTGCTTCGATACAATAAAACATGATTTCACTTCTGGTCACGTTAAACAAAAAACTGTCCGCCCTCAGTTTTTTGCTCCGTACATCATTGTTTTGTTGCCTTCTTCATATCTTCATTTTTTCTTTTCAACCACAAATGGATCAACTTCTCCAAACCTGTCTCCCCTGAACTCTCCCCCTTTCTCCTTCATCAGTACGTGCGATACCTCGCTCACTCTCTGCCGCTACTCACTCCAACCTCTCACCCTTCTCCTCCCTCATCCACCCTCCGCTCCCTCCACCTCCAAACACTGCACATCTTTGTGAGATTCAGTGCGACCAGAGTGCTGGTCTTTGTCCAGCTTGGAATTCTTAACATATCTGTGCTCGGGCCAGTCAGAGAGACAGAGAGACAGAGTCACAGATGGACATGTATGCACATTAACAGAGAGACAAGAGACAAGATCCTGCTGCTGTGGGTGCTCTGTCTCCCCAGCAGCAATGGATACTGGTGGCATTCTTTTTTTTGGCTCAGATATTAGCTTAAACGATGTCTGGTAATAATATATACTGAGGGCAAATTATCCTTCATGGCTGTCTCATTTAGTAAAAGTAACTAAAGGGTTAAACTGTGCCCAAAGAGGGTCGACTTGTTCAGTCCACTTCCTCTGGAGCGGAGCCATGTGTGCTCCTGCTGGCTCAAGATCAGACCCCACTAGGACTATCTGTGCTTTATCTTCCTCTCTGGATTTCAGCGATGTAATTAAATAAAGAATAACCTACTCAAGGTGTAGATTTTATTTTTGGGCAAAAGAGAGTTGATCTTGTTTTTTCTTGTTTGTCTCTAATGATGTCGCAGAAATCCCCTCCCTGTGGAGAGACTGGAGGTTATTAATGGCTCACATCCTGATTTATAGCCTCTCTTTTGTGTCAGTGTGTGTGTGTGTGTGTCTGTGTGTGTGTGTGTGTAGCCCATCTGTTGTGTGGACTTTGATCCGGCACTTGTCGATCAATTTGACGGGATGAAACATTTCTTCTCATTCTTATTCGCCGTTTCCTGCCCGCGTTGGCCTTCACGGCCCTCATTGTGTGTAAAGATGTTCCTTTCAGCTTCATCTTCAAGTTTACACAACAAACTGCAAAATGTAGAGAGAAGACTGGGCGTGTTCTATTGAGCTGAAGTTAACCAGGACTGAACACGCCCGCTCATACTTTATTTGCAGGCCGTACTAAATCATCAGCCGCCCAGCACATGTTATTGCCATTAACCATCCAAAAAATATTAACATTTAGCTCATAGGACTTCAAGAGCAGGCATGACTGCACAGAAAGCAGAAATCAAAGCAGCATGCTGCGAATAGCTTAGATCAATGGCAGCAATAGGACCGTAATGTTTCTGTGGGTAACTTGAGTCAGATGTTAAATGAAGGGGGCAGTTCATGTAGAAGTACATGAGCCTGATTCTTCATGTCTGTCTATCTGACTGTTTAAGCTGCCACGTTCTCTGTCTGTCTGTCCGTCCTCAGGCTTGGTGACCAGTTCTATAGGGAGGCCATCGAACACTGCCGCAGCTACAATGCCCGTCTCTGTGCCGAGCGCAGCGTGCGCATGCCCTTCCTGGACTCGCAGACTGGTGTGGCGCAGAACAACTGCTACATCTGGATGGAAAAGTGCCACCGCCAGCCAGGTGGGGAATAGTTTGACATTTTGGGAAATACGCTCATCACTTTCTCGCCCGAGAGTTAGATGAAAAGATAGATGCCGCCATCATCTGTACGCTAAATACAAAACTACAGCCAGTAGCCGGTTAGCTTAGCTTAGCATGAAGACTGAAAACAGGGGAAGATCTAGGGGTTTCTTGTGATTGCGAGGCAACCAATGTGTGACGTTCCTGTGAAATGGAATGCGCTTTAAAGGAGCTGGTTGCCAAATCTTGTCATCTTTGGACAGGGCCAGGCCTGCTGTTTCTCCCTGTTTCCAGCCCTTATGCTAAGCTAGGCTAACTAGCTACTGACTGTATGCATATCAAGGATTTAATGTAAAGATCTCCTCCCTCAATTGAAAAAAGCAAGTCAACCCATCTTTTGTATATTACATGAGTTACCATTTGCTGATTTATCATGAGACATGTAGTCAGAATGCACATCTGGGTCGCCTGTCCAGCCAAAGGGAACAATCTGCTCTTCACCGAGAGCTGGACACAAATAGCCTGTTCTCCATCTTGTATGCAAAGCCCTTCAGGCCACACCCTATACTTTGTGGCAGACCTAACTCGCATTATATGAATTTATTCTGAGTTTATCCCTACCCCCTCCTTCTCTTTATTTTTCCTCTGCTCATGCTGACAGAGAAAATAGCGTATTCCCCTCCGTCTCTGTCTTCATCTCCATATGATTAGACACAAAGTTACCAACTCATTCGATTCAAGCGCAAGAAGGCTGCTTTTCTAAAATAGTGACAAGGCAAATATTTAAATTGTTTACTGGAGTAAAACTGCATGTTATCATCCTCAACATTAAGTTATGGTTCTACATCTACACTGATATGATAAAGAAGCCCACATTCCGGGTTTTATGTGAGTTTCTGGAATCTGAGACGGATGTTTTGGAATATGTGGACCATTAGCCTGAGCACTGAAAGTGAGACATATTAAGTGTCAGGGAAGAAAGACCAGTCCACTCTGTGTGTGTGTGTGTGTGTGTGTGTGTGTGTGTGTGTGTGTGTGCGTGTGTGCGTGTGTGTTTGTCGTGGTCTCAATGCAAGTTTTGCTAAAATGGTAAGCCTGCCAATGGTTGTTAAAATTCTTCCTGTGTGCTTGTGCATGTGTGTACGCCTATATTTATGAATGTGTGTGTGTGTGTGTGTGTGTCTGTCCAGGCCAAGCAGCAGGACAGATGTACACCTATCCTGCTCGTTGCTGGAGAAAGAAGAGGCGACTCCACCCTCCCCTGGATCCTCAGCTCCGCCTGTGTGAGCTTCGACTGGGTAAGACAAACAAAGCGCACATACACACACGGCCGTGCAGCACATTGACATGCATGCACAGTGAACGCCAAAGCCGCAGCAGTATCGACCCACAGTTATACAATGAAAGCCACTCAAACCGGTGCGCCCGCTCCTTTTGGTTGTTCATCGCATCTGAATGCACATGTGCATTGTGTGTGTGCCCTCTGTGCTCTGGTGTGGCTGCACAGAGCTTTAGGCGTGCTCAGTGGCGTTAATGTTCACTATCTGACCATCTGGCTCTGGTTAGCCCTTCTCTTTCGCCAGGTCTCCAGGTTCATTCTCTCCCCTGAATCAATACCTCCTCTCACTGTTCTCTGGCAGTAGACACACACACACACACACACACATGACTCTCTGTTGCAGCACACAAGCACCCTAACTGGGCCTCTATAATCATTTGTCCATGAGGCATTAGAATGTAAGTGAGTCTTTTTTATGTGTGTCTGTGTGTGTATCCATGCATGCATATGTGTGTGTTGTGGGGGATTTTAGCAAAGGAATGCCTCAGGAACCCGATAAGTGAGAGACATAAAGGCGAGTCTTTGTATCTGCTTTGCCACACTATTGTTTCCACCTTGCTGTCTTCCAGACGCAATATAATACTCCAGAGTGTTCCACCAAGAACGATTCAGCTTTAAGCACAAGAGACATCTTCAGGAAAAAAAACTAGAGAAGAAAATCCCCAAACACAACCAACCAACTAAAGCACGTGAAGGGAAAGAAAACTAGCATTACACTGCAGTTAACCAGAGCAGGAAAGCCATTGTAGGGTGAAAGAGTAGACGTCTCCACTTTAGTTTTACAGGGATCCATTTCTTCAGTTTGGCCCAGATATCTATCACAACACGACAGAGGAATGTCAGTGCTCCCCTTTCAGACTTTTGGAAACGCTTTATGTTTATTTAATGCTTCCTGAGCAGAGAGGTTTGGCTTTTGTGTGAAGATACACAGAGGTTCTGTCACAAGGTTACTTTGAAATAGTTTGAAACCGGGATCTAACTCCTTGTTTTGTACATTAGATCCTCTGCTTCTTGTTCATGCCGTTGCTAAGTGGACATGCCTCAGCGGCCATTTTGCTTCCCTCAGTATAAACTCCATTTAATCTAATGAGGGTTACAAAAAAGCAAGCAAATGCATAAGAGTAAGATATTTGCACCAATTGTGTGCACAAATGTACAAAAAGCAATGAGCGTGCAATTTACCTTCACCTCTTTCTCGTGCTTTTCTTAGTTCATGTTTCCTACCTTTGATGTCAGGGGTGCGATGGCGTGGGCCACTTTACATTACACTCACTCCAGTGATTTAGTGTTGTATCTACTTAAAGCTATATCCTGATTTTTAGTCTGTAGTATGGGTCAACCTCTAAAAACTCTGGATCCTACATTTCCCATAATGCAGCTCTAAAGCATCTTTCATTAGACCCCCAAGCAGGGCTGTATAGTACTCGAGTCCGGTCTCAAAAAAATACCCCTCCGCCTCTTTCTTAACGTACTTGTAGACATCTGTAATGGTCCTCAAACCTAAATGCTATGAATGAATTAGTTTCATGTTAGAAGATCAATATTGTTTATAGATAGATTATATCTGTCCGTCCGAACTCCCTCATCACTATAATAGCACGGGGAAGACACTATTATCTATTATGTTCTTGAACAGGACTCAATTTGTTTTGGACTCGGTCTTGACCTGGTCTCGACTGCCTTTAGACTTGCTCTGAACTTGGACTTGACTGGACCTGGTCTTGTACTTGACTTGGTCCCGACTACATCCCTGCCTCCATGTCTCCTAAATGTCCACTTCTTTCAAATCCCACACCTCCAGTGTGAAACGTCAGCTTTCTATAAGAGATTTAAGTCTTAAGCCCAAACCCAGCTAATGACATCATCAGGCTTTATTTTCTCAAACCTTGGAAAGCTTCTCCAGAAGAGCTATAATCTCTTCTGCCCCATAGAAGAGACTCTACAACTGAGTAGTATGAGTAAACTGACCCCCATGGGTAAAATCGGTGGAGTGCCCCTTTAAGGTCAGCAGTGGATCCAGATCAATATGATATGTGAGCGCGTGGGGATGTTTGTTCGTATGGGCTTGGGGGTGTGGGGCGTTTCTTTGCTTTTCGCTGGCAGAGCAGAACATTCAGCTCCACATTCTCCCCACCACGTTTGTCCTGGAGCGTCAAGGGAGGGGTGAGGAGGTTAAAAAGGGGAAGGAGGGCAAAGAAGATGGGGGGCGAGGAAAGCAAGCAGTGTAGGAGAGGAGGGAGGGTGTCAGCAGAGAACGGAGGTGAAGGAGGAGGCGTATATGGTGGGTTGCGGGGGGGATACAGAGTGGGGGACTGTCCTGTCTGTGCCAGCAAGTCAACCTACACCCAGCAAGTCAACCTACACAAATGGACACAAAGAAATAGGAGGAGGAGGAGGAGGAGGAGGAGGAGGAGGGAAAAGAGGAGACCCAGCAGCTCTGTATTCAATAAGAACATCTCACACACTCCCTGCCGTTCTTATCACACCCCTACTTTCATTCTGCTCTGATCCCGGTGTTAAGAGTTCAAAGACGAGAACGGCTAGTCAATCCTGCAGCAAGTTCACCTCCACGGAAATGAATAGAGGGAGAGGAAGAAAGACTGAGAGCAGATGCTTGAAAGAGAGAGAGAGAGAGAGAGAGAGAGAGAGAGAGAGAGAGAGAGAGAGAGAGAGACCGAGACCGGAGATGTAATTCAGGCCTGTGAGCACTGTTTTCTCGTTTAGGTTCAGTATTTCCTCTTCTCTTACTGTGCACCTGGTGCCGCTGTTACTAAAGCTCCCTTTACATGCAGAGGCAGCACTCACACAATGTCCACATTGATACTGATACATCGTCTCTGCTTTGGTCCTGCAGACAGCCAGGAGAGAACATTTTACAAATTTGAGTTTTGTGTTTAATGTGGTCAGCAAACAAATTGTAAAAATAAATTGCACCGGTAAAGACATTGGCTCAGACACACACACACACACACACACACACACACACACACACACACACACACACACACACACTTGCCATTTAAAGTACTTTCTCTTAGTCTCTTCTGCCATCACCTCCTCAGAAGCCGAGATGGCCCCCAAGCGCGAGGTGCCCCCAGGGGAGGCCACAGCCTTGGAGGCCCTCCTGAGGGGGGACAGCCTGCTGGAGAAAAAAAACAACATCTGTAAGGAAGAGGAAACGTTGCTGGAAATACAGGTATTTTGTCAAGTGTGCATTATGTACAGTATCATACATTATTAATGTGTATCTACTGCCAAAATATGAACCCTTATCTCCCCATATTACTTCTTTCCAACCTCTTTTTACTTTTACCTAACGCTCCCACTATGTGTGTGTTTGTGCTCCGTAGAGAGTTCTGGAGGCGGAGGAAAACGGGGACGGCCTCCATGATGATGAAGACTTTGAGCAGGATACTCCAAAGAGAAAGAACAGAAACAGAGGCAAAGTGAGTGTCACAGACAAGAGACACAGCATGTGTGTGTGTGGTGTAAAAGACAATAGTAACAAAGTTTCATCAATACAAAATCTATTAAATGAAAGATTTCTACTGTATCTTCCTGCCATTAAAAACTGTTTCATAACAAATTATCACAATAAACCTTGTTTTTGATGTATTAAGTTAAAAGACATATACACATTTATGTAAAGTATGCTGCATTTAAATATAAAATATCCTAAATTTCAACATTCATACATTGGAGGTTTGAACATCAGACGAGTGTTGCGTTTCCTTTCAGAACAGAGGATCCAATCGCAGGAGGACAGAACCCGTTAACGCCGACGACCAGGACAAACCTTATGTCTGTGACAGTAAGAGAAAAGGAAACCTAATTATTTGTACATCATGTGCCCTCATGTGATCAGTGTCACTAGTTTTTGCTTTACACACTAGTTTACCTAAATTCAGAGGGTTTCCTGAAGCTCACGTGGGTGGAGAAACTCTCTGCTCCTTAGATCTAGCATTACCAAAGTTAATTCCTTTATGATGTATCAGGAAACCCTTCTCTACACGCTTGTTCCAAAATCGTAGCTTCTATAAACGGAGACAAAATCCAGCAGACGTGCTCCCTCAATGATGGCCCCCTCTTCTTCTGTCCTAAGAGCTGTGCTCTGCAGCATGAAGGAAGAGTTCGCTGTTAATCCAGACCTGACTAGCATGCCACTCGCGTACTTGGACAGAATCCCCAAGAGATAGCCACGCTGACTTGACTGAGCCCCAAACAAATTGAATCTCATCCTCATTTTGTGTCTTGTGCTGTCTTTCCTTTATTGTTTGCTTTTGTGTCTTCTCTGTTCCAGATAAATACAAACAAAAGCATAACTCAAAAAAGGCTGAAGAAGGTATCTGAACCTGTCTCCATCTTGTCCTTCTAGGGGCTCCGTGAACTGTCTTTACATGATTGGCTTTGTTTTTTTTCTGCCATGGGCGTCCGGTTCGGGAATGGCTGACTGAATGCTAATCCCTTGGAGATATCTAACGCTTTAAGTGCTCTATGCTAGTCCATTTCCCTGAATTCAGTGCGAGCATTGCATGAAACTAACGCTGTGTGCCTTAATGCTTGCATATTGCAAGGAATGCACCAAATGATGCTTAAGCAGCACCTCCACTAATGTCCCACCGAGGGATGCATGTTTCTGAAGGCCGCACTAGCTGTGATGTGATCCGCAGACGTAGCCATTGTAGAAGTGTTCACACTGGGTGGACTTTCTTAAGATGTTTCATACGGATCAGTTTTTAACTGTGGGCTTGGATTGGCGGTGAGTTTACAGGGAGACGGGGAAGCTTTGAAGCTTTCTGGTGGGAAAAAAAAATGGCTCCAGAATTGGCTCTCGCAAGGAAAGCAGCATAAATATACAGTATAATAAGAAACTTCTATGATGGCTACAGCTCTAACGTGTTCTACAATGACCCCTAGAGCTACTACAATATTAGACTATAGATTATAGTTTTATTCATGAGCTTACAAATCCTGTTTTTATATATTAGACTTGTGACTTCCAGCAGGATAGAGACAGAGCGCAACGTGTCGTACCAAAGAACAGAAATCGGCCCCACAACATGCAACCAAGGGCTGACATGTTAACAAAATGCCCGTAGCTAGCTAAAAACATCATATATCAGCATGCCAAATAATTATATTCCCCTGTTACAGAAGTTGCATACTGTCAAAATGTTTTAGCTTAACTTACAGAAATATAGTTAACCTAGAACTGACAGTTGGACAGAAAGCTTGCTGCACTGTACTTGGTGTCAGGATTGCACAGTTTTCAAATTTGTCCTGAGATGTCTCACGTCTTATTGCCTGTATCCTCAGTTTTTTTGGGTTCTGAGTAGTGCAACCCAACACCCAACAGCTTTTAGGCAATTTTCTGTTGTCACGAAAGTGACAAGTAAGCACATTCAAGCGAGACAAAGTCAATGGAGAGCGATGAATTGTCTTTCCCCTGCGTAGTGGGCGGGACAAGTAAGCAGGACTTGAATGCGCTCTGTCTCTATAAAAATATGCCAGTAAAGTTTTAACCTTGTGTTGCTTTCTCGTAATATCTGTTTTTGAAAACAGTCGCAGGTCTGTTGCGTCATGTCCCCATATCTCTATTTTTCCTTTTATTAGACTTCCTCGTGAAATATTTTGAATTAGGATTTTCTTTTTTAAATAAATGCCTGATTTGATGTTTGCTTTATGTCGTGCCTTAATTATTGTTTCAACTTATTTAACTCATAAATCCATTTTCTTGGCATTAAATATGTAGTAGATAAAGCTCCTCGCTCACTGTCTCAGCAGCAATAATAGATCCTCTCATCAAACATAAATACTAACAGTTCCTGCAAATTAATATATGTTATATTCCAATTAAGACAGGGATGACAAATGCCTTTGAGCAGACTCGACTGCTCTACAGTGTATCGCACAAGGTTCTACGTGTCTCTAATGGACCTTTTGATGTTTTATCTGTAGTCTGTGGAAAGCGCTACAAGAACCGGCCCGGCCTGAGCTACCACTACACCCACACTCACCTGGCAGAGGAGGAGGGTGAGGAGGAGAAGGAAGCAGAGAGGTCCCCGTCTCCTCCGTTTAGCGCCGACAACCACAAACGTAAGCTGCAGGCTAGCATTTGATTACATAGCCCGTCAAAAAGGTTTCAGTAAGTGCTAGCTCAGGACAGAGACTCCCCAATGTACGCAGCCATACACTCGTACAATTTCCCAAATCACAGTTTATGGTAAACCAGACGGCCTCGCGCTGTCAGACAATGAATGGCAGCTCATGTGTCCTCCTGTTTACATGTGTCTGTTCCTGCCAACAGCTCAGAAGGCTGCGGATGGCTCCATCATCCCCAACGACTACTGTGACTTCTGCCTGGGAGACCAGGACTCCAACAGAAAGACGGGCCAGGCCGAGGAGCTGGTGTCCTGCTCTGACTGTGGACGCTCCGGTGAGTCTCCAGTCTCCCCCTATCATTAGAAACTTTGCATTAACATCCACACAGTTCATTTTAGTTCGCTTATTCCATGTCATCTTGGTTCAAACCAGCCTGCGTCTTTACCTGAGGATGTAGACCTGATGATACATTTATGGCGTGCAGTGAATTGAGCTTTCATGTTGCCGCAGTGTCTTTGTCAATGGGTTGTCAATGAGTCTTGTAGACCATCAGAAGTGAGAGCCAATCGCTGGAACTTTTTGCAGTTTCCCTCCTGAAGATAATATTGATCCGCTGCTTGCTTCCATCCTGCATGCTTCTCCATGTCAACCTCGCCCATCAGTAAGGACTTCTGCCTTTAGACGACATGCATATTCACTCTTTTGTTGCTCAGTTTTCACGCATTACTTTGTGGCACTTTTGGCTGCATTTTTGTCTCTTTTTTCCCCCTTTTTTTCCTCCTGGATATCTCAGCAAAACATTTTCTCGAATACGCTCAAACGTCTTGCGTAGTAAGAGAGCATTCATTTCAACCAGTGAGATGTTTTCTTGCTACGGCAGACTTTAGTAGAACAGCTGCGAGAGTGTGTGGCCTTGTCTGTGTTGCTCTGACGCTGATGTTTTCATGGTAGCTGGAAGAGGAGGAGGGAAGAAGCATGGGAGGAAGCCGAGTGCTCTAGAGGAATTGTTCGGCAGCACGTCAGACAGCGAGGCCTCCACGTTTCGTGGCTTTGAAGATGCAGACCTGGAAGACCTTATGTTTTCAGACAATGATGATGCTGTAGCCGACAGCTGATGACGGGACTACCTGGACCTCGTGACAATAAAACCAATTTTCTGATTAAATGTTTTCATCGTGGGAACTCTCGAAGACAGGATAACAATGCCAACTTGCCTTGAAGATCTCCAGATTTATTTTTAACTTTTTTTAAAGATGTAGGAAGCGCATTCCTTCAAAAAACATCTTTTTCTTGGAAATGTTGCCTCCGATGGATAAAGTGGCTTTTTTTTTTTTTTACCACGGTCGGATGGATTTTTACTGTTGAACGCGTTCAGACATTTTTCCATTTTTCATAAACCAACAATAATGTCCTCACACTTGCTTGTGTAAGATAATCAAGATCACAAACTGATCTTCAGAGCTACATCCTAATTAAATCTGGACTGAAAAGCTTAATAGCAGACACGGTGGACCAGAGGAAAGAGGAATAAATTACACGAGTGGCCGCTAATGTGGCGGGGGGAGGGATGAGCGTGGACTCTTGAGTCACTCCATTGGCTAAAGAGGACATGTAGCCGAGAGGTAAGAGCCAACCGGCACTCCATTGCTCCTCTCTGTCTTTACGGACAAGACCTTTTCTTTTGTTACTAGACGTAGAGTAGAAATGCTTTATCTACAGCCTCATTATGTGCTATCCCTTTAAGACGATAGGCCATCTTTTAAACTGCCGCATCTTATTTCTACCCGACTGTAATTCCTCCGTTTGATTTAGGAGGCAGGCAGCAGCTGAAACCTTTCTGCTTTGAATTTCGCTCACATCACATTTGTCTTTATTCACCCATCGCAGGCTGAAGAATGTTTTCCATGTTTCTGGCTGCTTTCCCAGTCCAGATGTAAATCCTTCACTATGTGCTCATTCATGGCTCATTGATACCCCATTGAAATCAGGGTCACGCAGATAACCGTGTGCACCAGAAGCTGTGGGGAGGCTACAAAAAGACATTGACAGTAACTGCAAAATGTTTGTTTTTAGATTTAAAATTTTACCAAAAATATCATTCTTTTTGAGTTGTCGCAGCTGTACATTTTTTTGGGAGGATGATGAAATACTGCTCGGCTCTGTTTTCCTGTGCACACATCATGGCTCGTGTTTTGTTCTCCAGACATATAATCACTTGAATGCTGTTGATGCTGCATTTCATCCAGCTGTACGGACTGTCAACACTATGGGGTGCAATTACAGACACTTACACTGACTCAGTCTTTGTCTGTGTCTCTCTGCTATCACATACAAATCACCACTGACATTGTTTTGTAAACTCTTCTGGCAATCCACTCTTGGCCCCCCCCCCCTTTCCTTTATTCTTTCCATTCTCTCCTCTCTCTCTCTTTTCTCTCCTGCCCTCCCCGTCGCCCTGCAGGTCACCCCACATGTCTGCAGTTCACTGATAACATGATGCAGGCAGTGAGGACGTACCAGTGGCAGTGCATAGAGTGCAAGTCCTGCAGCCTCTGTGGCACCTCAGAGAACGATGTACGTATGCTGTAGGAGAGGGACGTCTTGTATTATCCCATGTGGCCCTTTGAGTTTGCTTTGAAGCGCACCAAATTTGACTTGCTTTCCTTTTAATGGTGTGACCTTTCCACTGGCACATACTTGCCAAGCATATATTATATGCGACTAGTCAGCCATGATGTGATGTTTGGTTTTTTAATGATGTGTTGTAAAAGAGTGAAAGATACACATTTCACTCTTTTGGATAGAAGATGTAAATCATCATAAATTCATGGGATACATTTATGTGTGTAGCACAATTTCATACAAATCGACAGTGGTTTGCAAGATGAGATAATAAAACAATAATTATGTTAACACTAAAAGAGGACTTCAACTTTAAGGTAATAAATACCCACCACAGCAAAATTACAACAAAGGTGTATTATATAAGGTTGCATGTTACCTACCACTTTTTGGAAAGACGTAACAGAATTTTGGGCATAAAGACTTCTCTTTGAAGCTGTCGCGAGATGTTTTGAAAGCTCACACTGCTACTTGCCAGACCTCTTTTTATAGCTAATAAATGCTGCAACATAATGTGGGTCACATTTATAGCAGCATTTACTTACTTACTTCAGCATTTATATCCTTTTCCAGGCAGGATTTGTGTGTTTTTTTCCTGCCCCCTGTACATATATATATATATATATATATACGTATATATACAGTATAATAATAATTAAGATGTTGATGGTATGTTGCTAATGCAGGATCAGCTGCTGTTCTGTGATGACTGTGACAGAGGATACCACATGTACTGCCTGAAGCCTCCAATGACCAAGCCTCCAGAAGGTACAACAGCCACTCTCATGGGTTTTATTATACATGAGCGTGCAGACACTATATATGTCATGTGCTGTATGTTTGAGAGAGACTACAAGCTAAGGCTATATATGGAAATCGGCAAGGAGGACAACGATTTCAGCCTCTCTTTCTCCCTCTCTTTCTCTGCAGGGAGCTGGAGCTGCCACGTGTGTCTGGACCTGTTGAAAGACAAGGCCTCCGCCTATGGAGAGGCTTAACTTCCTTGGACATTCTTCTCAACACACACGTACACACAATATATATATATATATATATATATATATATATATATATATATATATATTTGTACCTATACATTAACTGTCTGACATACCCCACACGTTAGCAAACACGTTCTCTCAGATAGAATCGAACACACACACAGATACACTCTTCCACACACACACTCCAGTGCATTAGCAGGCTCAGGGCGGTTTCCTGTTTGAGGCGCAAAGATCTTTGACCTCTCATATAGCCGAGCAACACTCCGAACGGCATCAACATGCAGTCTCGACCATAAGTCGGCTAACAGCGCTTACAGCAGGTCTGCCGTTCAGTCATCTCTCTACCTCACCACTCAGCAGACGGCAAAAAAGCCAAAAGCAAGATTGATAATGGCCGATACTGTGTAGTACACGTGTATGTGAAAAACATGCTCATCATAAACCAACCGTGGACGTTTTCCCCGTCATTTAAATTAATTCGAGTGTAATTTGGAAGACTTTTCGCTTGCTTCCCTTGCTGATCCAGCTCCACCGTGGGTTTGACTAATGTTTGTTTAAATTCTTTTCCTCCGAGCTCTACTCCTCTCCTGTGTTTAGACTTGACAGTGACATTCCTTCTTCATATCTGGACAGACTCAATGTTAGTTATGCCATCTTTCACAGGTTTTTGTCAAGCTCGGCGAAATTTATATCCTGCGCTAAGAGGAAGCGGAGCGATAGAACTGCCTCGGTCATCATTCTTGTCGCAGCGTGGTGACATTTCTAATCCACGTCTGTATTTTGTATCCTTGCAGTCACTAGGATACCACGGTGCTCAATATGACACTTTACACAAAATTATAACATTTCTTCACACAGAATGTTATTGTTTATTTATTGATCCAATGTTACTGTCAAGGAGATCATTGTTACTGTAAATCAGTGGTTCCCAAACGCCCCCTCTCCCGCCACACACGCACACACATAAATGTATTGAATTTTTATTATCTGGTAACAATACTGAGGGAACTATTAACAAAAGGAGATGAAATATATTTAAATAACATATGAACACAAACTGCATTTTCTAGAATCTAACTCGTGTGTTTTTGTTTTTACAAAGGCGTTTTTTTTTTTTTTTAAAGATGCAGAGCATCACCCTCACACATGTCCCATGGAGCTACATTGCTTCAGCATGTGGACCAAATCCAAAACTGGACAGTAAACCATGATTGGAAAAATGCTTTTCAATGAACCTTTACACCTCTGTTGGACATTTCAAAAATATTCTGCTGGTGAATAAGGTTTGTTTTGCCGTCAGTGGTTTCACTCTTCATTTCACCCATGAGTAATGTGTGGCCCTTACAATACCTCTGCGCCCCTCTAGAGGGCTCCACCCCACAGTTTGGGAACCACTGCTGTTAATTAACCAGAGAAATGTGTGTAGAATCAAAACTATTTTGAGCAAACAAGTGTGGTGAATCATATAAATGTCCTGAGTAAGCAGTGATGAGTCCTGTCTGGAAGTTAACACAGGTTATATGAGAACTCATTACAGTTTTTATGCAGTTACAGTGCAACCAGAATATACTCTGGGCATTCTTGGTTTGTATTACGACATGAGTAAGGTTGATATGTTCAATTGTAACGTGAAATCTTCGAAAGCCCCATCAATGTAATTTATGTTTTTTTTTACAGAACAGATTTGGTAGCACTAATCTAATGATCATGAAAAGGAAGAACCATCAAGAATAAGCTCAAAACTAACCAGAAAAAGCCCTTAAAGTACACATAGTGTGCCAGCCTTCACAAGATATCACAATCTGCATTTGTGGGGTTTTTTTTTTAAGTGTGAGTTTGTATGTGATATTACTTTTCCACCGACAATCATGAGCTAGTGTAGATACATCATGTTAATATAAAGATGGTTTTATTGTTTTGTTCCATGGCGGGTGTAAGGACCCTTTGTGTCTTCCTTTTTAAAAATCTCTTGGATGTCATTCTTATTTGATGCCATCACCTCCCGTGATTTAACATGCGTGTTGTATTTCGTTAAAGTAAATGTTGTGTTTTGTGTTGAAATAAAGACTTTTTTTTTCCATTGGTCTTGTTTCTTTTGCTTGTTATCTATGAAATGTATCTGCAGGTTCACATTTTGCCTGTGAAATAAATTCACAGAAATACTATTCCTGCTTCTGTTCCCTTTCAACAATCCATTACCAGGAAACCCTAATGGTGTGTATTCAATTTGGAAATGGATATTGAGTGTTTATATGGCTCTTGCCAAGATGGCTGCATCTGATATATCCATTATAATGTGATGAACAGATAAGTCATCCTACTCCCATGTGGCTGCCTTTCTGTTTGTCTGGCGAGCTTTCTCTCTGTGGATGTAAATTAAGAAATCCAATATGAAACATCCAGAAGCCTGCGATGTCTTCAAGTCTGGAGCTGCTCCACAGACAGTGCACTGATTTCTTGGACCCATAACGATATAGTTCTGAAACAACATGTAGCCATATACTATGACGTCTTTCCACATTCATTGTCTATGGAGGTGTTCCACTTCACAAATGGATTTGTAACATTACTTGTGCTTTGCCCATTGACAATTCAAAATGTGTTAGCACTTACATACAATTACCACAAGGGAGTGGTGTTGGACTAGAGTAAGGCCTCAACACTTTGTGACATCCTGTCGTGTTGAGATGAAATATTTAAAACACTCGTCGATTGCAGTTGCAAGATTTAAAGATGTTCTGTGCAAACAAACCTAACTGTGCATCTTCAAACCAGAGTTCGAGAACGTTCTGTGTCTCGTCTTTGACATTTTTCTGTACTATTATCGATCAGAGTGCAATAATATACAATCATAAAAAGAGTACAATAATCACAGTAATACTGTTGCTTTATTGGGGAATATGCATCCACAAGAGAAAAGACAGACAGAAGACTGCTTTAAACTGTAATATAGAACTGCCTGTTGATCATCTATACCTTCCAAATAATGACGTAGCTTACTTTACTCACAAAAAATGTTCTGTCTTTTTGTATTGCAAATATCTTCAATTAGTGAAACAAATAACTTCCATTAGTGAAACCTCCCTCCCATAAAATTCAAAAGTAATCCTGTACTATGTTAAAAAATTCAAATCAGATTATTTCATGTTTTTCAAAGAAAGTGACTAAACTGATTTAATTGGAGTTGCTACATCTCTGCTGGTTAGGGTGTGTTTGTTTTAGCATCCCGTAGTCATTTCAGAGATGATGGCCAGGAAAGAGCTTGTTGCGAATCTGGGATTCAGGAGGAGCTGCTCCAGCATCTCTCTGCCTTTCTCTCTTGTGGTCACTGAACACATGGCACTTCTCCACATATTCACCAGAGACCCACCTGGTAGAGGACATGGTCATCATTAAGAGTTCAAAAAGCCTTGATTATAATATTTATGTGTGTGTGTGTGTGTGTGTGTGTGTGTGTGTGTGTGTGTGTGTGTCCTACCCAGTAAACTGTTGATGCTGCTCATCCAGGAGAAGATGTATAGTGTGTGGTTCTCCGCCTCACTCAGATCGGCTATGTTAGGTGCACTGTCGCCCACCTAGACGTACAGATATGACATACAAAACAAGAGTTTGATAAATGCGCAGGTCGTAAAACAAATTAAATTAATGGAGCGATGCAGTTGTAGTTACGTACCTGTAAAACACGACTTGGGAGAGGGATTATGAACAGTGCAGATTTGTCCATATTGGATTGGAAATGTGCCGCAGCAACGTACTCGGCCGAGTTCTGCCAGCTCTGAGAAAATGTCACCTCTACGGAGGAGTAGTGGCTCTGCCTGAAGGAGAGGAGAAAACAGGAGATGGATGCAGCTTGTTTGAATGGTTGCTGAGAGTTAAATGAGAAAAATGATACCACACTACATCATGACAGTGGTACAGGGGAGAAAATACAGACAGTGCAAGCTGAGTGGTTGAACTGAGGCCTGTGGGGGGGGGGGGGGGGGGGGGGG